CAAGTTGCCCAGGTGGGTTTCGAACCCGTGGGCCCAGGCAATCCACTCACCTCAGCCTCCCAAGGCGCGGGATTACAGGCTGAGCCACCGAGCCCGGCTAGGACAGACTTTTCTAGGAGGCGATAGGAGTATAGTGCTCAGGAGGAAGAGATCACCCCTACCTGAAAGAGTCAGGAAAGACTGACACAAACCAAGTCTTAAAAGAGGAATAGGAAGGCTGGATGCAGTGGCTCATACCTGTAACCCCAGCACTTTGGGAGGCCAAGGCAGGAGGATTGTCTGAGGTTAGGAATTCAAGACCCAGGGAAACATAGCAAGACTCCATTTCTCCAAAAAATATATATATAAAAGTTTTTTTAAACTTTTGATCAAAACAAATGCAAATTTTTTTTTAAAAAAGAGGAACAATTAACTAGGAGCAGAAAGTGAGGAGGAAAACTGTAAATAACTTAGGAAGGCTGAAGGACAGTTGTGAGAGTGAGATACCGCAGGAGATAAGCTGCATGGGCAGGCTGAGCCAAGTCCCCAAGATCAGACAGGCCAAGTGTAGGAGTCAGACATCATGATAGAGAGCCATTGAAGCGTTTTAAGTAAAGGAGTAAAGTGATCAGACTTGCATTTGGGGAATTGATTCTGCAGCAGCCTGGCTGATGGGTTGGGTGGCAGGCAACCAGGATGGAGGAAAATAAACTACTTAGGAGGTTGAGTCCAACGTCTAGGTGGGAAGTGATGAGGGTCTAAAGGGAAAGGGAAGAAGAGACTGGGACAAGTAGGGGAGATTTTTAACAAAACAGAATATAGGACCATGTCACTATTTGCATGTCAGGAGAGGCAGTAACAAGAAGGAAGGAATCAAGGGTCACAGGCTTGGATGCTTGGGTGGACAGTGGTACCAGTCAATAGAATTACAACAAGAAGGAGGACCAGGATCTCTGAGAGCAGGTCTTTTGTGTGTTCCTCTCTCTATTATTACCTCAGCCACTGCCTTAATGAAGGCTTTAGAAATAATTTTTTTTTTAGTTGGATCTTGCTCTTTCACCTAGGTTGGAATGTAATGGCATGATTGTGGTGCACCATAGCCTCAACCTCCTGGGCTCAAGCGATCCTCCTGCTTCAGCCTCTTGAGTAGCGGGGACTACAGGCATATGCTACCATGCCCAGTTAATTTTTTGATTTTCTGTAGCGATGAGGTCTCATTATGTTGCCCAAGCTGGTCTTGAACTCCTAGGCACAAGTCATCTTCCCACCTTGGTCTCCCAAAGTGCTGGGATTACAGATGCGAGACACTGTGCCTAGCCTAGAAGTAATCTTAAGACATGTTAATCAGTCAATCCATCTACACAATTTAAGTAGCTCACAGTAATGTCCTAGAAGCAGAGAGTGATATGAGAAGGTGGGATTCTGGCCAAGGGTAAAAGAAAGTACTAGCCACTTAGGTAGCTGTGGTCTATTGAGAGAGAGCAGTAGTATATCGTGCTGAGTATTCCTTCAGTTCACAAATTTCTTCCATTTAATTCCCATCTAACTTCCGCAGTTACCCTGTGAGGTCAGCAGTACTCCCTTTGTGTGAGTGGATCTCAGAAGTTAAACAACTTGCCTAAGATCACACAGTGACTCTAGGGCAGCTCTGGGAACTGACCAGGTCTTCTGGCTTCAGGCCTACTTTTCCACATTGACCTTATTCACTGTAAGGTGCAAATGTCAGGGGGTGAAACTGCTTCCATATACCACTCCCAGGTAATCTGATGACATCATAATATTGTCACACTCCTTAAAAGTCACTTAGTATACCAAGCACAGCACGTCGTGTCAAACACTGAGTGTAGAGCAGAGAAGGATCCCTAAGACCGAGTTTCCTTGATAGATTTAAATTAAAATCTATTTAGTAAAATACAGACAGCACCATCACCTTTCTTCAGTATCTCGCAGACAGGGACAAGGGACCAAGAGGATTGAAGTGCACAGACTGACAAAAGTTTGGGACTTAGTCTTGGGGAGATGGTCTGATTGATGTGATGTGCTGAAAACTCAGCCAGAAGTTGGAGCTCTGGCCCCTCCAGTTTTCCACAAACACTCCTGGGATACTTTGAAGACATTTTGGTGCTTATGGTGAGACTTCTTCAGCTTAGATACCTGTGAGGTCTCACAATTAAGTTCGTGAACTCATCCTAGAAAAAGTGCCATATACCTCTTTGCTGAATCTCACTATGGTCACCTTCAATGATGCCAGGACCTAGTCCACCCCTTAAAGCAATTTTGAACTTTTTCTGGAATGGACATCAGAACTGTTGTCATATGACTCTTGATGTCTCCTTTCAATATTCCCTTTATCTTTGGGTAAAGAAAAAAGTCATTGGGGGCCATATTAGGTGAGTAAGGAGGGCGTTCTAATACACTTATTTGTTTACTGGCTAAAAACGCCCTCACAGGCAGTGCGGTGTGAGCTGGTTCATTGTTATGATGCAAGAACTCCTTCTGGACTATTTTTGCACACACTTTTCTCATGTCAGGTTTTCCAGTTAATATTTTCCTATTTTTCTATTGATGTTTTTTTGATCTGCTGTGCTTCTCACAGTCATCCAACAATTTTGATGCATAATTCAATGAATTTTTGCAATGTTTTCATAGTTCTGCTCGTTACTGGCCATCCTAACACCCCCCACCCCATCAGTGATGCTTTCTCTCCCCTTGGAAAAATGTTTAATCCATTTGTACACTGCCATTTTCTTCATAGCATTATACCCATTAACTTGGACTAGCATGTCCCTGATTTCACTTCCACTCTTGCCAAGTTTAACAAGAAAGTTAATGTTTGTTCATTGCTCTAATTCAAGTTCCAGCATTCTTGCGATGGTACCCCAAAGCAAGCAACAACAGTAATGAATACCACTCAGCAAGATACTACCACACATTGATATGAACACAGCTGTGAGACACTGATATACCAGGGTTATAAAACCTTACCAAGTAGTTTGTTCAATGCTGCCAACATTAATGGCACGGTGTTAGGTTTGTGAACTTAATTGTCAAACCTATAAACATAAAAGCTTTTTCCCATCAGTTTCAAAGTTGGTTGCCTGGATGACAGTCCATTTTCCACAACAAAAGAGTACAGTAGCCTAGAATTACCTATCAATCGTGGGTACTCTTAATGTCTCCATGTATAATTCTCATATCTTTGGTCCATCTATTTTGACCCAATTCTCATATCTTTGGTCCATCTATTTTCTCCAGTTCGAGAGTTTAAGTAAATCAAAAACCTATTTCTCACTAGGATAAAGTTTTAGAACATTGATTTAACTCTCTAAGTCCATGGAGAAAGTGAATAATAGACTATACCAAGTAAATACATTCCAGTATGATGGGTCTTGGCCTTTGCACATAAGCAAGTTATCTCCCAGGTTGGGGCATGGTGAAGCCAAAAGGTAAACAAATCTTGAAAATCAGTCTATTTAGAGCATTTTTGTGCAGGGCAAGTTGATACAGTAGAATGAATTTAAGAACTAATGTCCACTGAAATGGGAAAGCAATGGCCCCAGTTGGACCTTGGCATATACACAAAGAGAAGCTCTGCCCCCTTGTCTGTTTCCTCGTTTTCTTTTGCAGGTTTTTGGTCAAACACCATTTTACACTGTCGAAATTTCACAGTGGAGCTTGTGGCCAGAAATACCTTATGACTTGGTGAGTAAAATTCTTGAATGGCAGAGGGTTTGGGGTGGACGAAGAGGGAGCCATATTTGAAATGTGAATTGAGAGAGGGTAAAGAAGGCCCAGAGAGTGACTGTGGAAGACACTGTAAAGCTGATGTGTGGAACAAATGGCACCAAGCCATGTAGACATTTCTTCTTTTTATGTTTTCATGTCTTGGGCAAGTGATTGTTGGTGAGTTCTTTCCTTTATATTCTAGTCCACAGTTAGAAATTGGGATTAATCTCTCATGTCGCCTGTGATTGTTGGGTTGTAGGTGCTTGGAACACTGTGCTGAGAAGAACTTGGAGGGCACAGCCAAGCGATAAAGAGTCTGGGAATTGATTGGCAATGTCTGCCATGGGCATGGGATAGGTAGTGGCAGCCCATGGGCCATATAGTTATTATTAGATGTGCATTATCAGATGTAGAGCAAGGTAAGATGCCACTCTGTAATTTCTAATGACTCCTCAACTGTTCTCCTTCAGAAATATGCTTTACTGTCAATCTCTTTTTTTCTTTATGACTTTTTTCCTTTTAAAAAATCAACTATTTTAATCTTCATCTTCTCTGTTTTGCCTACTTTCTGCCCTCTTTTTCTGCTATGTAGACCTTAGGCCTATGTTCCACATGTTCTATTAGTGGCATATGGGATCAGAGAAATCATTCTAAGTCCTGCTCACAATAAGGGTTTCTCTGAGTTCCAGAGAGTTGATAAGAGCCACCTTACTCTGATGATTATACTTGGTTTACCCAGGATAACCCTGAAACTTAAATTTAAAAAATTGTTTTCTCACTTCTCTGGTGGGTTGATCTCAGGGATCCATCCTGTATTCTAAATGACATGTGCAAATGTTTTGTGTGTTTTGTAAGTGTTGTGCAAAATTATGAATGTTTATAAAGAAGCAAGTTGAATAGAGTTACAACCTAACACTATAAACCCAAATCTGTTCGGTCAAGAAGGCTTGGGTTTTTTCTTAAACAACTTCACCCAGGAATCAGAAAGAATTTCTGATGGAAGATCAAGCTTTTTATTTCCTAAGATTCCATTCACTTCTTTGGGAACCTCCAGTTCCCCTAAATACTTTTTAAATCAACACATCTCTCCTTCTGGCCAGATATTGCAAGTGTGAGGTAACAAACTGCCCTTGCTAAGCTATAATTCTTGTTAGTTCAGTTCCATTATCTTTTCTGTGTCTATTTTGTTTTGACTCTAGATTGCCAAGTACAAAGGATTATTGACCTGGTTGGAAAAATACCGGTTACCTTTCTTCTGTAAAACAGACTTGTGTTTCTATTACATTCTCTGTCAGGAGCTCATCAGTTTCGTTAATTCCCCAGAAGGAGGTAAGCATTGGGGTGTGTGTGTGTGTGTGTGTGTGTGTGTGTGTATGTGTAGAAATATGGAAAGTCACATTTTGTAATGATCCTATGCCTGTCAATCCTATAGTAAGATACAAATACTGGCTACATTTGTAGATATGTGGGTAGCCCAGCCCATGTTGTGACAATAGCTAAATCTTAGCCTGAGAAATTGCTAAGCCGCGCTCGGTGGCTCAGTCTGTAATCCCGCACCTTTGGGAGGCTGAGGTGAGTGGATTACCTGAGCCCACGGGTTCGAGACCCGCCTGG